CAATCAAATAAACATTTTAAAGGTATTTTAAGGTTGTTTGAGTCTCGGAATTCTCATAATTCGCTTCTTTCTCCCCCTGTGACGAGTCTGAATGTAAGAAAACGATGTTAAAGAAAGGCTGTTTGCAGAAAATATGTAGCAATCCGGCGTTTCTCTGTGGGTTTAACAAGTAATGTGAAGCTTTTACGACAATAAAATAAAAATTTTAAAGATATTTTAAGGTTGCTTGTGTCTCATAATTCGCTTGTGTCTTTCTCCCCCTGTGACGAGTCTGAATGTAAGAAAAGGATGTTAAAGAAATACTGTTTGCAGCAAATATGTAGCAATCTGGCGTTAAACAAGTAATGTGAAGCTTTTACGACAATCAAATAAACATTTTAAAGGTATTTTAAGGTTGTTTGTGTCTCATAATTTTCATAATTCGCTTCTTTCTCCCCCTGTGACGAGTCGTAATGTAAGAAAAGGATGTTAGAGAAATACTGTTTGCAGAAAATATGTAGCAATCTGGCGTTGAACAAGTAATGTGAAGCTTTAACGACAATCAAATAAACATTTTAAAGGTATTTTAAGGTTGTGTCTCATGATTCGCGTGTGAACGAGTTAAAAATCAAAAAGCGGAAGGAGAAGTGAATAGTTTGGCCTCTTAAAAAGTGAAAATGCAGATAAATCTCAGCAGTGTAAAAGGTTTATGGAGATAAAACACAAAAAATTACAAATGAACATTAAATAGGATGGTTTTCAGAACCTAAAATGTAGAATTAAACTCCATAAGTGCCAAAAAAAGAGCCTGTTTGTGTTCTAACGAATGAGATGCCCAAACCCTTTTTTAAAAAAGCCCAAAGGAAAACAATCCCCATCAAATACTGACTGGATTTAAGTTTCCTTTTTCCTGCTTTGTTGGATTTTAATAATTGATCAAACTGATCTTTTAAGGCCTCCACATCTGGGAGAAAATCCAACTCTGTGTCTAAACTGTGTAAGATGTCCTTAAAAAGCCCGATTCGCTATTTTTTCCGAGATAAACAAATGTCCGGATAAATGGAGGCATCGCGTGTGAAAGCTCACGCGAAATAAAACTAAACATTTGATGACAACTACTTAAAAAAAAAGACCACACTCTGTAACATAAACATACATAAACGGCACATAAATGCTCTCAGGGATCTGCTATGTGTTTTATAAACAAGAAAAATAACAAAAAGAGCTGAATGTGCATTATGATAGTTGCCCCGCCCCCTTTTCCCACAATGCACTGCAGCAGAGGATGGCTTAGGTCAGCACCAGGATGAATAAATTAAGTTAAGCTTATATTTAAAGCTTCTTGATATGTTTAAAGCTTATTATTTGTTTACTAGAATTATAGAGATTGAATAAGATCTAATGATAAAAAGCCTCTCAGTTGCATCCTGTTTTGTTTTGCATGTTTTAATGTCCATTTTCAGACAATAATAATTGAAAATCAATATTTGCCAGTTAATCTAACCAAACTGGAGCCATAATTTGCAGTTAAACCTATTTTATGCTTGGAATATCTCAATTTAAGCAGTTATTAGTTTACTTTTAGGACGTTTTAAGGCCCTAAAATGGCAAATAGAGGGTTAAATTAACTTGTGAAATGATTTAATTATTCTTTAAAGTCTCTCATATGTGTCCTGCAACTCATGTTTTGGGTCTCTGGCCAAACTTTGAGCGAGAATTACTTTTTTTTTAAAAGAATATCTAACATAAAATGGACCAAACAGGGTTGATAATGACCAGTAGAAGCCAATAAAGTCTCTCATATGTATCCTACGACTCATGTTTTGGGTCTCTGGCCAAGTTTTGAGTGAGAATAACTTTTTTTAACATGAAAATCTAACATAAAATGGACCAAACAGGGTTGATAATGACCAGTAGAAGCCGATAAAGCCAATAAATGTATCCTGAAACTCATGTTTTGGGTCTCTGGACAAACTTTGAGTGAGAATTACTTTTTTTTAAATGAATATATAACACGTTTATCGAGTTATCTAACGTTTCCAGGCCCCAGGGGCTGACCCTGAACTCACCGTTTTTGGATGAGTGGAGGCTTTGTGGGAGACACAGAGATTTCCTTCTCTTAAATCGGGCACTCGTCCAAACTTTAGTTTTTTTGTTTTTTTGTTTTGTTTCTTTGTTTGTTTGTTTTTTACCCGGAGCGTCCGTCCATTTGAGCGTCGGTCAGAAGTTCCCGCCCCCCCGCCGACACCACGTAGCCTTTTCCCGGAGGGACCCCGGCCTCCAGGGCCCGGATCCAGCTGCCCGTCTCAGAAAAGGTCAGCAGGATGTCCAGCACTGGAGACACAACCGGTCAATAATCAATACTCCATACCACAAAGAGCCCAAAATTTACTGTGGGGGAAATAAGTATTTGACCCCTTGCTGGTTTTGCAGGTTTGCCCACTTACAAAGAATGCTTATTTTTCCTCATCAGATGGTTATCAATTTTTTATAAATTCATATGATGTGATTTTCTGGAATTTTCTTTGGGATTCTGTCTTTCACTGTTAGAATGTACATATGATTAAAGTTATAGATCGTTGCATTATTTGTAAGTGGGCAAACCTGCAAAATCAGCAAGGACCTAATCAAAATGGCCGACTTGGATGTGGGGGAGTTGGATATCCATCCTTGGCTTCCTGCAGTCTGCAGCCAGACGGACTTAAATAATGTTTGTGTGTTGTTATTAGCCATTAGCCGCAGCTAGCAATTCAAGGCTAACGTTGTGTTAATGATCATAAACAACGTAAATACATAAATAAATAAATCTGAGAGAAGGGGGGGGGCTTGCCTTGGTTCACGGCCAGGATCTTGGAGTGGAAGTTCCTGGCGTTGGGCCTCTTCTGCATGTGTTCGTCCAGGGGGAGCCGGGCCGTTTTCACGCCCAGCAGAGAGGCTCTGCCCAGGCTCAGCTTCTGGGGGGGAGAGGACCAGAGGACGGGCTAAGACCCCCTACAGGACAGCCAACCCCCCCACAGCCAGAGGACAGGCTAAAAATTTTAAATTAAATAAAAATAAATAAGCTACGTTAGTTTAAAGTTCACGTAATGTAAGTTAGTTTTTTTTTAAATCAGAAAAATAGAAAAATGTAATATGAATAAATAAGCTATGTTAGTTTAAAGTTCA